GTTCGCGGCGAGAAATGGATGGATCTGCATTTTATGCAGAAGCAAAAAAGTGCACCTCAAATCCCAGGTCTCATTTCGCAGTTCGAGTCCCACTGCGGTTATCGCCGTGACAGCTGTCAATCAGCTGGCAACTGGCAGTTGGGCAAAAAATAAATCAAATAAGAGAAACACACACACACACACACACACACACGCACATATATGTGCATATATATTTGTGCAAGTAAGGAGCGATGCATCACTGTTACGAGAAAGTTGGCAGCTTTAATTGCGGCGGTCGTTCAATTAGCAGTACAAGTGATTTTATAGCGCCCGCTGCCAACTTATTAACGAAAATTCAACAGCAATTCAAGCTGCTCTTCGTCGTGGCCAAAATGTTCGGCTACCTGGCTAGCTGGCTGACTCGGCTGGGTGTTGGCCCAGAAATTAACAGCCGTAAAAGGAGAGCTGCAAGTGCTGCGGCATAAATACGAGGCACATTTGGACAATTACTTTATTTACGCACTGTATTTAAGTTGATTTATGCAGTCCACAGTGCCGGGTCTCTACAGTCTCTGCTCCTCGGTCCACTGTCAAGAGTCGAATTGTTAATTGCACCAAAATGCAGATATATTTTTTTAATGTTTGTTGTTTTTGTCGCTTCTCTTGCAGTTCCCGTTGCAGTTCCCGCTTCGGTTTTTGGCTGCTGCCAAAATGAAAAGATAAACAGCTACAGTTTGTGTTTCCTTTTTTTTTTTTTTTTTTTTTTTTTTTGCACTGGCATCAATAAAGTGGGTGAGGGTTTTGGGCTGCGAGACCTTGTTGGCCGACTGTCCTGCCCTGTCCTGCCTTGCCTATACTGCCAAACTCATTAAAACGAATCCTTTTAATGGCCAAAAGTTTGCTGCTCCTGATGCTGCCTCGGCTGCTGCTGTTGCTGCCATAATCAGTAAAATTAAGGCCGTGGCAGTTGAAGGCTGAAAGCTGCTCGTTGCCAATGTCGTTAGCATTGGGCCAGAACATTTTACAAAAAGCCATAAACAGTAGTTGGCCGTGTTTATTCTCCATTTTTTTATCAACAATTTTTTTTTTTTTTGCGACCTTCAGACACATTTTAAAATTCTATTTCCCATTAAAAGCTTATTACCCTAGATAAAGTCTTGTACATGATTTATCACCTCGAATTGTACATTCAGTTTTTTTTTGGCTCTTACATTTCTCTAGCATACGTTGCCTATAATTACACCTCATGCATTCAGCTTAAGCTTATATAACGTCAACTGTTAGTCTGCATATCATTAATTACCATTCTAAAAAAAAAAGAAAACTTCTTTAACTTGCTTATTCTGAGGATAATATTATATAAATGTTTTTAAACAGCTTTTACATGCGCTCAGCTTCGAATCTCTCTGTGAGCTGTGAAAGAACTTGCCAAGTTTTTATAATCTGTAAATAGTCCCCAACCACATAACCACAGACCCACTCACCCACACACCCACTCACCCACATACCCACTCACCCACACATGCATGGCTTCTCAGAGTTATGGGCTTGGATTTAATATTGGCAACAAGTACTCGGAGGAGCAGCTTAAAGGCGACAACTTGTGTGTCATACGCGACGCAACTAACAACTTACTTAAACCAACAAACAAACTGCAGAGAAAACACACACACACACATACGGCCAAACACACACACACACACATACCCAAACAGTGTCATGTGACACTCAAAAGGCCCAAAGCAACAGCAGCAGCAGCTGAGCGACATGAACGTGCAGTTGGCAGTCAGCTAAATAGGTTGAAGGATAGGGTGGTGGTGGTAGTGGTGGTGGTGGTGGTGGTGGCAGGGGGTTGGTGGGTAGGGGGTAGGTGCTGGGCGTTACACTTTCTGTCTGCCTCTTGGCGAATGGGGGAACCCAAGCTGCACTTGGGCGCACTAATTACGTAAACTCAGCACGTTTTGCCATGCTGTGTGCTCCGATGCCCCACTGCCTCGCCGCTGCCTGAGTGGTTAAATGCTGCAGTAATAGCGGCAACATGCAACGCGACAGTTGGCTGGCGGTGGCACAAAAGTTAAAACATTGCGGCAGCAATAAAAACAGCATTCGCTTTGGCTTTAGCTTCGGGTTTAGCCCAGCCCAGCTGGGGGTGGCTTAGCTCTGCTGGCCATGGCTTTGGCTGTGCAACTGTTTAACTGATGGCTCCCAGATCTGTGCCACATGGCCAGCCACAGCTCCACCAAAGTCAATGTCTGAGGTTGGCAGCAACCGCGTCCAGCGCCAGCATAAGCAACGTAATGAGAAATGCATCAGCGGCGCAAAATAGTTTGGTTTTGCGGTAGCAGCAGGACGCTGCAAGGACTCCAGTCTGCAGTCAATAATAATTACAGCTGCAATCGCTAACAACATGTGCAACATGTGTATTAACTGACTTAAATAATGACAACGGTCAATTAAAATGGCAGCAGGGCATAATTGGAGCACTGGAATGGTATATGCTACCCAGAGCTACCCAGAAATAACGTAAATTGTAGCAATGGAATAGTTCAGGTTAAACTAGAGTAGACGAGAACCTAAATGTGTAATTACAATATCAAAAGGGCAACCGAGTAAAGGGGGCAGCTAGCCAAAAGAAATGCGAGAGGGAAGAAAAGTGAAAAGCGAGTTGGCTCTTAATACATTAATATAGAAACTGCAAGACTCAACTTAATAAAAAGTCATATAATTATTGCTAAAAAGGCAAGCAGAAACAAATTAGAGCCAAGGGCACTTCAAGCTGACTCTTTGATATTAAACTCTCGCTCTGTCCGATCAAAGTATACAAGTCGCATAATTAACTAAAATTATTCAAAGAGAAAATAATTATAGCAAACGTATTTGAAAATCTGAAAGGCATTTCTTTTCATTTAACTAGCTTTAACTGAACTTATAATTACAGACGTAATTGCATACAATTTGTTAGCTTACATTGTTTTCTAGTAAACTGGCGTAATGTCTTTGACGAAGGTGTATTTAATTCCTTGCCAGGTAAATAGTTATTTGCTTGATTTTCAATGAAAATTGTAGAGTTCTAAAATGGTTAAAGCGTTTCACCCACTTCTATAAATTATAGATGGTTTTTCGTGGCTTCTGCTTTGCCTTTACGCCCGCTGCCGTTGACTGGCCTTCAGGTGTGTCCATTTGACTGTGGCAGAATTGCAAATTCACAGCTAGCAGTCATGCAATGGCGTCCACAAACAGCCATATCCTGCATAGAAGGCGCTGACTGGGAATGGGGCAGCTGGAAGAGGTGCTGCCCCATGTCCATGACAAGCAATTTGATTTGCAACTAACGACACGACGTTTTTTTTCTTTATATACATATACATATACATATATACGTGTATATGTGTGTATATAGCAAACGCCAACTACATATTTGCAATCTTTACGTCGGCTACATGGCTATAAAAATAAATTACACAAAGCTTAAAACTTATGTGCATCAGGAAGAAAAATGGCTTATGGACGCGCAGCGAAACAAACGAGTGAATCGGATGAATCGAAATGGCTGAGGGATGCGGCGAGAGGCGACCAAATGACCAATCGACTTGACCCTCGAATGCTAACGTTGATGAACGTTATGGCCGTTGTTGCTACTGCTGTTGTTGTTGTTGTTGGCGTGCAATTGGAGCAATCCGAAAATAAAGCGTACGCACACACACACACACACACATACATTTACAAAAGGGAGGCAGTGAGGTGCCTGCCAGGAGCTAACTGTAAAGGTAAAGCTTTAAGCCGACAATGAAGACATTAACATGAGCAACGACAGCGACAGCGACAGCGTCGACATCGACATCGACAAAACTCTATGCCATGGCTCATCACATTAATCTTCTTAATACGCCCATCAATAATTCAAAGCCAAGGCATGACCAGACCGCAGCAGACCCAGTTGAAGACCAAGTGTTTGGCCCAAAAGCTGTTCAAAGCTGTTGCCCCAGTGTCCATATTGGTATCCACTGTTCGGACACGCAACCATTTGCCGACCATTCAACGTTGGCCAAGTGCTGAGTGAATTATGACGCACAGTTCGATTTCAGTTGCGAGTGCCCACCTTCGAGGCGCTGACGGGAGAGGGCACCGGCTGGGCGGGGGCTGGGAGAGAACTGTTTGTCGTACATCAAAATCAAACTATAACATACAAATATTGAAGTCACCCGCATGGCACTTCAAATGGCAGCCGACAATGAAACTTTATGGCTCGTTAGCATTTGATTTATGCGCAGCAGCCGATAAAGTGGCTGAGCTCGCTTGGCGGGACTAGAAGATACCCTGTATAGGTTAAGATACTTACTCTATGCTATATAAGAACTACATTGACCGTAATAACTTGCCTTGATGACCAGCTGCTGATCAGTTCAAGTACTCGAAAGTCTATTCATATATTCCATCATTCCCTTTCACTTCACCTACACGTTTACAGGGTAGAGCAGAGTATTGGAAATGATTTCATATCGCGTGCCCGTTGTACCGCTTCTTGGAGCTCGAGTGAATACCTCGGAATGTAATTGTATTTGAATGACATATGCACGACCAATGGCTGGGGCCGACGTGCAGCAGGCACATGCCCATTGTCAATATGACAGCTGCAGGCCACCGGGCTGAAAGGGCGCCTATGCCGGAGCCGCAATCTGCAGGCCGTCCATTGTTTCGCCTGGACAATGTGGCACGCAGCATTTCACCTGTGCCGCTCACCCTTGACAATTTGGATGGCGCTCATTGGAATTTCCGGTGCAGATTTCGCAGATTCTGACGCCTACTTCGGCGCTCAAGTGCCCAGCGCTGAGGCCATGCAAATGGCCCTTTGTCCGATGCGGCAATTGTTGGCTCCATTCAACGAATTGTCGCCGCGCTTCACATGTGTCAAGCCTTCGTTTAACGTTTAACATGTGCAATTCCCAAATTCTCAGATGCCTTATCAATTTGGCGCTTCAACGACGCTGATTGTGTCATAGGTCCGGGCCACGAGATAAGCTGCCCATGGCCAGCCTCCTATAAAAGAGCTAAGCAGCAGCTGGCATAATTTAGTTTCAACATTTCTCAGACGGAGACAAAAAGTAAGTGCGAAATTAAATAGCACACAAATACCAGAAATATATCTCTAACGGAATTTAAATAGTGTTGTGTGCCAAATACAATTTGAAATCAAACGTGAATACAAAGAAATTGTGATTCTAGGAAATAATTGGAAATTGCTAGTATTTTTTATTGTGAGCACTAGAATAAACAAGTCCAACATCTGCTACAGATATATACATATATATGTGAATGTATATATATATATTGTCATATGTGTATATGGCACATTTCTATTATATGTGCTGCTGTGTAACTAATTTGCCAGTTAGCTAGGTCAGCAGTCGATTTTGCTATCAGATTAGGTTTAGCTTTTGAAATTGAATTATTGTATATAAACTTTGTTTATTTACTTTTGTTTGCAAAAAAAAAAAAAAAAAATTAAATAAGATAAAATAAATAAATAAATAAATAAATAAATAAAAAAAAAAATAAATATAATAAAAATATATTTAAAAAAATATATAAAAAAAATAGTTTATTTAAATAATAATTATTTAAATATAGTTTTTGGACACATATTACAGTCTTATATATTTATAACAAAATTTAGAGTTCAAATATTATTTAGTATCCTCTAAAATATTCAAGCTTTTACTATAAAAAGTCAATTCTAATCGTCTTTTTTTTTATATATTTTTATATATTTATGTATATTTTTCTACATTTTTCTGCAGCAAACAGGATGAACTTCTCGTGGTTTGCCGTGCTCATCTTTGCCCTGCTCGCCGTCGTCTCGGCTAGCAATTGCCCTGCCAAGTTCACGGCCCAGGGCGGAAAATGTGTTGCTGAGCGCCCCATTCATGGCGAGTGCCCCGCTGGCTCCACCTACAAGGTGAACATTAATGCCTGTGTCTATGGTGCTTAGTTTTGAGCGGTGCTTGATTAAATAAACTGTAATTAAAAAACCAGATGGACGTTGTATTGCTTTCATTCGATTAATCGCTGAATTGCCTTGTTTTCCACAAATTTGATTATCAACTAACCTAATGAACGGCTGATCCCGATTCATTCTAGGGTTGAGTTGTAAACAGCTGCCGCTGATAAGTCGCGTGTCGGCTCTATAAAAGCGCATCGCCCACTGCAGATCCGTAAATAGTTGCATTTGCACTTGCTACAGGTGAGAACTGGAGGAAGGTGTTTGGCTAACGGTAACTGCAATTACTTCACCTAGACAACCACTATGAACTGCAACTGTGCTTGGCTTCTACTGCTGCTGTTGGCGGTGCTCGGCGGCGCCTGGGGCTCCAGCTGCCCCACCGGCTTCAGCACCGAGAAGAATCTGTGCGTCAAAGAGCGACCGGTGCACGGCACCTGTCCGCCGGGGTCCACCTACCAGCTAAATATCAACAAGTGCGTGCACGCCTGATCTCTCTGATATGTAGTTGTGTTTATGTGAAATTGACTACATTTGCGGCTGATTAAATCTTTGGTAAACAAGTCAAATCGAATCGAGTCGGGTGCGAATAAAACCGAACAGAATCGACGCAAACGCTTTCAGATTTTGGGAATTGCGTGTAACAATCCAGACAAGGCTCATTATGCTCGAGCCAATTATTGTAGTGGGCGCCGGTTGTTGGCCTAAAAGTTCAACAATTGCCGCAAATTAACGAACACGTCATGCTGCTGCCGCTGCTGCTGCTGCTGATGGCCAAGAGACGTGCAGACGTGCAGACGGTCGGACTGACGGACGTGCAGTCGTTGGCCATTAGTTTATTACCATGTAATTGACTCAACGCTTGTCAGACAACATTGCCGTCGACATCAGCTCCTGCGGCTTTAATGTGCTGCATTTAATGACCAGCCAGAGACCAACAGCCAACACCAACATACACGTCAACAGCAACACCAACACCAGCAGCAGCAGCAGCAGCAGCAGCAGCAGCAGCCACGTTGACAGCGCATCAAAGTCAAAGCGGTTTGTCTCTTTGTCCGTCCGTTTGTCCGTCAGTCCGGCGTGATTAGCGTGATTGGGTGCCTGCACTCTGGACCCCGCTTATCAACGTGCAATAGAGCCGCTTTATCTTACGTAATCGAACGCCTCAAACCTTCAGCTGTGCATAGCTTGGCTCGGCTGGCTTAGTTGAGCTGTGTGCGGTTCAGTGGTTCAGCGGCTGCTATAAAATTCATTAAAAACTTTGCCCCACCTCTGCTGGCCAGTGCAAATGCCTAAAAAGCGGCTGCAGCATTTAACAGCAACAGCAGCAGTTGAAAAACTTTCCACAAGTCCAAGCTGTCGCCAGGATGTGCAGCAAACCCAATTGCATATGCCAATGTTACAAAAGTTTCCCCAAGCAAAAATGTCTATCCTACTCAACAGTGCTGAAAAACAAACCAACAAAAAGCGATAGATACAATCAAATTTAGCTATATTATGCTATGCTAGCTGAACATAAAACTATTCTAGTTAAAAGGATTTTAAAAATATTTTGAGAGCAATAGATGCTCTTTGACAAGCTTGACTTTTCTTTTGACAAATTTTTTTTTTTTTTTTTTTTTTTTTTATGTATAAATATATATTTTATATTTTTAGAAATATTGTTATCAACTGCGAAAATACAATTTTTAATCAAAAGCCTAATAATACGTTACTTCTGATTACGCATTGGCTATTTCATTTTTATAATTAATAAATAAATAAATAAATAAATAAATAAAAATAGTTGTTCATAAAAAAAAAAAAAAAAAAAAATTTCATATAGTTAAGCTCTTCGGAATTTTTTTAAAATTTTTATTAGCTCTATTTGCTACTTAAAATAGATTTTCACTAAGCAATCAGCTATATCTAGCCATTAAAAAGCTAGAACACATTTTATGCCATTGCTGACACCATAAACTAACAGTCTTGTCACTGGGGCTTGTAAATTTCTATGACTTGCATAAAAATGGTCCCCGAATGCTTCCGCCGCTCGGGGTTTCCTTTTGGCCTAAAAGTTTTCCGTGCCATGCTGGCAGGCAGTCAGTGGAGGCAGCCAGGAAATAAGGAAATGTTTTCAGCAGTAGTATTTGCTGCCTGGCCAGCGACATTTATCAGTCAGTTGTTGCGGCGCTGTCCATGGTGGCTTGTTGGACAATTTTGAAACTGTCTCAAGTGGCTGGCACGGGGCGCTGCCACAGCACCGAGCGACCGCAGCTTGCCACGTGCAACGCCTTGTGGCAACTGCAAGCGACAACTGTCAGGCTCTGCAGTTGCCTCAATAGCCACATGTTTAAGTATGCCCTGCCCGAGATAGCAGCAGCGCCTCGCCCACTCTGCCTCCTCCCTGCTGCCGTCCTGTGGCCGTACTCCAGCAGGGGCAACTCACGCGCAAATATGACGAACGTAAGCAGTAAAGTTTTGGCCAACTGATAGCCAACACCCACATAGCTCCTGCTGGCCAAAACTTTTGCAAGACGTTGTCGCAAGTTTATGGGCCGCACTGCGGCTCCCACTTCTTGGCCATTGTTGCTCTTGTTGTTGGCTGCAGTTCAAGAATGTTGCAATGGCGGGCTTCTTATCGCGCTCGGCTTTGTCCTGAGGCCGGCAGCAAAAAACAAAGTGTGGCCATAATTTCTGGTTGTTCTACTCAGTCGTTGTTGTTGTTGTTGTTGTTACGACTCCTCCTTGGACTGCTGCAGCACTGCGGCCGGCGTCAAAGTTTATTGATGCTGACGTTGCGAACCTCTTTGCAAACTGCCCTTCAAGCATTCAACATTATAATCATCCTTTGCATTTCCGTTAATGGCTTTCCAGTAAAAATCTCAAGTTTTATTCTCTAATTACACTTGCTACAACTGCGGCACAGATGTGGTCAACTTATTAAGCCTTTTGGGAGCTTTAAGGCTTCTCTTTCGATTAATATTATACTATTATAAAATTATGTATTTTAAAGTATTTTCATAAAGGCTTTTTCAAAATAAATTTATTTAGAGTTTTTCATTCTCTGCAGTTGATTACATGATTATTAAGGATATACATTTATTGTATTTTATTTGTTTAACTGTTAAATAAATATCTTTTCTTATTTTATAGTCAAGTTATAGATAGACAATGGATTTTGAAATATACACATTCAAATATATATACGTATATTCAATAAAATAAATAATATATAGGACTTATTTAACAAATCTTATTTATTTCAATTAAATTTTCAAAAAGTTTTTGCTTGTTTCGTTTAGCTAAACTAATTTTTTAAGAACTTTATTCCATTTTATGGCTGAGGAAACTTGCAGTGCCAAATCCCGCCGTCTGATGGATATACTTGTGTGTGTGTGTGTGTGCTGCAAACGTGCACTTAGCATTTGCAAGAACTAAAAACAAGATGGAGGAGCTTTTGCTCTGTTCTCATGTGTGTGCATGCGGCTATGTGGCTGTGTGTGTGTATATATTAGTGTTTGTTCTTGCCCCGCAGGCACAAAACTTTAATTTGAGCTATTTGCACGAGTAGTAGTTGAAATTATATTATAATTTTACCGCTAGAGTAAAAGCAGAAATGATAACATGAGCAAGACCTAGGGGGATTTCAAATGTCTACTTGTCTGACTCCCTCTCTCTCTCCCTTTATCACTCTCTCTGTCTCTCTCTCTCTCTCTCTCTCTCTCTCTCTCTCTCTCTCTCTCTCTCTATCTGTCTACTTTTCTCATTTACATATTATTCTGGCTGTCTCGCCTATCTATCGTAAATGCTTTTAATGTGATATGCAATGGGTGAATCTGCGGCAAAACTTCGCTCAAAAGCGACAACTAAATCCGCAGTGAACATGTGTTCCCTGAATGCAAAAACGATGTATCACAATTTACAGATGTCTCTGTGTGTGTATGTGGGAGCGTGCGTATGTGTTACTGTATGAGTTTTCGGTGCGCTCAAAAGTTTGTGCTGCCAAAATTATCGCTCGTCGCGACTTTACAGCAAAATGGACGCTTTGTTGTTGGCTCTCGCTGATGAATATTGAATTATTTAGCGTAACCAGAGCTAAGTGGAAAATGTTAAATTCAAGCCACCTGGGTACTCCATTTGAATCATCGTTTTGCTTAAACATACATTGCTTGTAATCTGGTAAACGTATTCAGCTTTTCGTTAAACCAGTCGATGCTGTGTGGGACACTTTCTAAGATTATCATCATCAACAGAAAAGTAAAGTTCCCGAAAGTTGAACTAGAAAGAAGTAAAACAAAAGTGTAATATTCATATATTATTTATTATAATTATGATTTCATTACAAGTTCCCTTTAACTCATTCTTGTATTGCAACTTATTCTATTCATTTGATTATCCTACTCGCTCTAAATGTTTCCCCTTTTACCTTGAGCTCCTGCTCTGGCTAGGTGCAGAGTTTACAAGTAGAAGCGTTTGAGACAAGCAATTACGCAACTCCGTAAGTGGTTGACGTTAACGTTAACGCAATTTGGCAACGTTGTTTTATAGTCCTTAGCCACTTGAAGTTTTTACGCGTTCGCTTGCCCCAAGGTTATCGCGACATTCAGTACCTTTTGGCCTTGTGTATGCTTTAGTGTCTCTCCCAATCCGTCTCTCTCTCTCTCTCATTCTCCCACTCTCTCACTCACAGCCCCTCTGTGTGTATGTGTGTTGTACCTTAATCCAGCGTATCAGCAGCAGCTGCCTTTTAATTGCATTGCTGTTATTTCATTATTTCTGCAGTTGCGCTGCACTTCAAATTTGTTGTTGGCTCTGCTCGCTTTTCACCTCGTTTTTTTGCACGCTTTTAAGAAACTTATTTTAGCTTAAGTTTTATCTTTATTTCTTGCTCTACGGATTAAAAAGCAAATGGTACAAAAAATATAAAAAATGGAACATAAAAACAACAAAAAAGTGACAGCAACGGTAAGGCAGACGTTGGAGCGTAAAATGGAAAAGCAAAACTTTTTATTTGCTGTGACAAATTTTGAGCAGATAAAACTCAAAAACTTG